TTTCCAGATTTCTAAAAAATGTAGAAAACAGACCAAATTGTGGTATTCACCAGAGCTCTAGAGGGCCCATTAAACATGATTCTGTAAATGTGTCAAAGTTATTACATAGCATAAATTTTGTTACTCTAGAGGACACAAATATTATTTCCCTGTTTTAAGTCAAATTTTAAATCAACTACATGAAACGATTTTACTGTACACCATCAATGAGCCATCTGCTCATATCCAAGATGTGGTGGGATTTTTAACTTGATTGGATTCACCTAAATATGACATAAAAAAAATTTACATTCTAAATTTTTTCATTTCAGATTTTCCCACTGATAAACTATGATAATAGCTATAATCAATCTCTCATTTTATTTCATCCAATTGATAATAGCTCATACAGTTTTGGCTCCCCCCATCTCTTTAATGAGTAGTTAATGATCTACACTATACTAACTATCCCTATTTAACTATGGTCTTGACAATTTCTACTATTTAAGAGATAGCATAGTATAATATATAAGGGATGGTAAAAAGGGATTCAAACCTTCTGTAATTAGCACCTAATTTGTCCTTGCTGGTCTCTGAATTTTGCATTTGAAAACACACATGACACCTTTGAAGATATACCTGAAAAAGGTATCTTTTTTTGGTCACAACAGTTATGAGAAAGCATATGGAAGTGAACACTTCAAAATATGCAATGAAAATGTGGTATTTTTAACTGTCTAAAAAGTGGTTGTTCCATCACCTTGCCTAAGTGGTAGAGCTGGGATTCTTATCCAACACTTTTGCAAAGACTAAACTCAAGCTACCTCCTCACTCCGCCTCTCATTCTATTAGCTTTTGTTCTTTATTCACCAATCTCATAGAAATCCACTGATTTGCACACTGTTATTTCTCTGTGCCCCAGCTTTCTCTTTTCTAAAAGAAATCTAAGGGCTGGGCACGGTGGCTCAAGCCTATAATTCTAGCACTCTGGAAGGCCGAGGCAAGGCGGGAGGATCCCTTGAGCTCAGGAGTTTGAGACCAGCTTGAGCAAGAGTGAGACCCCATCTTTACTAAAAACAGAAAAATCAGCTGGGCATCATGGCGCACGCCTGTAGTCCCAGCTACTTGCGAGGGTGAGGCAGGAGGATCACTTGAGCCCAGGAGTTGGAGGTTACTGTGAGCTAGGCTGATGCCACGGCACTCTAACCAGGGCAACAGAGTGAGACTCTGTCTCAAAATAAAATAAAAATGAATAAAATAAAATAAATCTAAGCATCTACTTCACGAAGCTACTGTGAGAATTAAACGATAT